TGCGTCCTCGGGACGCTCTCAATCGGAACCGGCTTGAACGGCTCAACCTGCCGAATATCAACACCCTCTCGAATACACCTCAGAGGCCACTGGATCCACTCCCTCCATGGTTCCTGGATAGCCTGGTCTAAAGCCGATGCCACATTATTGCCCCAGCCGACGAGGTACCACATATTCCGCTCAAATGCGTGCACCAGTGCCGCGTAGTGCATGAGTATGACGAGGGCCATGGGGTGGTTCTGGATCATCAGCTCGAGGAAGGGCTGGGGGAGGGAGACAGCCCAGCGCCAGACGAGACCGGACCTATGCTGCGGAGCAGAAACTGCGGCAAAGGTGATTTTGAGGCCCTCGAGCGCGGATTGGCAGGTTGTTGTATCATCTGAAGGGGCCATGCTTCGCGTGAGAGTGAGGAGATCGTCGATTTTCGAGGCAAAGTTGCCTCCGACGGCGGGCTCGACGCCGCCTTGGTAGAGCCAGCGGGCCAACGGGCCGTTGGAGATGTATCGGTGGGCAAAGGGGAGGGTGAGAATGCTCTTGATGCCTGCGATGGGTCAGCATGGGCGGAGACGTGAGATGGGCGAAGCACCGACCTTGTAGTAAAATGAAGGACTGGGCGACGTCCTTAGATGTGATGGGCCCGTGGGGGTTCGCGATAGAGTAGGTGTTGAGCAGGAAGATGCATATTGCGTGGAGTACGTAGGCGTCTGCGTTGTTCTCGCCAATCTCGCTCAGTCCTGGCGAGAATTGGCTCAGAGCGATGTTCTGATGGCGTGCTGATAAGTTGGCATACTCGTCTCTTTTCTCGGGATTGATGTGCGCTCTGTGTATAGCTGAGACGGCGAGGATGCCGTGGAGAAGGAAGTCCTGAATGACTTAGTGGGAGTGTAAAGATGGATATAGGGGAATTCTTACGTTGGCGAAGGCAATTTGAGGAACAGTCGTAGTCCACAAATGTACAAAGTCTGGATTCTCAGAAAGAGTATGAGCTGTGTTGGAGGTAAAGTGATGGACGAGTTGCATGTCGGTGAGCCAGTCAGCTCGTGAAATACTCTGAGAGTCTCCCGAGTCTCCATGACTTGAGCCATTGGCCGGGCTGGAGTAGTTATCATGACCGTTTTGGTTGAGGGCATCTACTTCAGCCGTAAACTCTGACAACAGCCCCTGGATGGCCGCGACTTTGTCTTTCAAGGAAGACAATTGAGGTGATGGTCTCTCGCGGCGGCTGGCCGGGCGACTGGTCGTCGAGGCGTCCCCGATGCTACCTGGTGTTGCTGTACTCGCGGTATCTTGAGTTGGTTTTGGCGACTCGGTCACGGCAGGAAGCTGAGGTGCGAATGGCGTCAGGACAAGGCTGCACTTGACATCGTGCCGTACACAATTGCGACATGGCCGACTCTCATCACACTGGATGTTTGTTAGTTACCGATTGAAGTCACTATGAACCTCACCAGTCTCCAGTCTCCAGTCTCCATAAGAGGATGGCTTGGCGTGGCTTGCTGCAGAGAACAGAGCCCTTAATACAGGGAACTGAACTGACCTTGACACGCCGTTTCTTGCACTGCTGACACCCATTTCTCGACTTCTTGTGACCTATGCGTGTTCCGCGGATCGCGGTGCCCATCTTTGACCGTTCGGCGCCGTTCTCCAGAGCCGTCACTTCGTCCCTGAGCGAGGTGGTGGACCCTTTCCTTTCCGGCGCGCCGTTCATGGCATTTGACTCGTTCTCCATACGGATGGAGTACGAGTACGGAGTATTCGTACACCTTTCAGAATGACGAGCACCGCCGGGGAGTTACCGTTTAACTGATAAGTAAGAAGAGTTTGATCCTTTCTTCCTCTCTTCCTCCTATGTTCCCGGGGACTGTGATGAGATGTCTCAAAGGCTGTTTTGACGCTTGGACAAAAGAGATGCAGTCCGAAGATGGACTATTGTCTGATCCCCAGCTCGGTGGCGCCGCTTTTCACACTGCCGGGCTGCAGGACGCAACTAAACCAACGCCAACTGCCAGCCCAGTTCCAAGTGTGAGAGAGTCCCGCGGCCCAGGGCCCTACACGGTGCGGCTAATGGACCGGGACCCATGCACTCGCAGATGCGCAACACGGTTGATGGGATCTGATCTGGAGTGCGTCGATGACGAATATCACAGATGCAATCAGGATAATGCGAGGGCGGGGCTTAAAATAGAAGAATGATGGAGTTGACAGCCCAACAGATTTTCTTGACAGATTAAAAACCTTGCAGATGTCACAGATGAAAAGGTCGCGAGAGTCGAGGCTGTCGAGCAGGGACTTGGAGACCGGCAACCTTCCCGAGTTGCTCCTGGCTCCTGCTCTCCTGGAAATTAGAACTGCTGGCAGGTGGCCCTCTGGCTGGGCAGTTCCCCCGCCGTTCCGTACCGGCCGAAACAGCACGTGACCATGACTTTCGAAACGGCAAAGAACAGACGGAGAGAAAGGTCCTTCCGTTTCGTGCAGATCTGCGCACGGGTACTTCTCGATGGGTGGCCCAAGCTCCTTCTCTGGCGGGGGCAGTGATAACGTACCGAACAGCTTCATCCATCAGGGTAGATGTGGCTGATGCTGCGATGTGTGGCTTGTGCACCATTTTCCTCCTCCTCCCTCTGCGGGGCAGGTACTTCTCCAGAGCCCAGGGACCAGCTGAACGCAGGCACGCAGTACTAAATTACGACCTGCATGACGCGCCCCGGCGGAACGCGACTTGCCGTTCTTTCCTGAGGGTGGTGAGGTCAGCCAGGACCTGTTTGTACCTTCACCTTTCCTCCCGCTCCCTTCTCTGTCAAATGCCACAGAGAGACGACGTCAGAAGTGTCAATGTCAGCATCAGCTGCAAATCCAATTGTCCATCGCTGGCTGTAGCCTCTTAGCTTCTTGCATCCATCCAGACTCAAGTGCCTCCGTCACTCGTCCGTCACACTCACGGGCCTACCGCTTGCCGTTCCCGAGCTACCTCACTTGTACCAAGTATTCCGTCGCATAATCGTTGAGCTGCGCCAGTGTCTCTCCCGTGTCTCCCTGCGAGCGCCCACCCCAATCGTTCGACCGACCCCTCTCGAATTGCAGCCTCCCGTCCATCCCTGGGAAGCTAAGAAGAGGCGTCAAACTGCAGATTGAAGAAAAAGGAGGCTGCCCCGACGAACCTCCTCCGAAGTCACGATCGGCTATCCCTCCATCTTCAACACCCCTGACGCTCATTTACGATCAACGAACGTCATCCGTCCTCTACCACAAATCCCTAGAGCAATTGCCCACCATGGCATCGCACAGCGACTACAACGACATCAAGGCCTCGGCCAAGGAGAACGCCGCCGGCGTTTATGCCTACGGCCAGCGACAGATCAATCGGGTCGTCAGCTCCGACACCAGACAAAGAGCGTACGGCAATGCCTACAACTTTGCCCAGGAGCAGCCATTCCTCTTTGTATGCGACCCCCAATGATACTCGCCTCCCTAATGTCGGACATCTTTTTTGCTAACGAATTCATTACAGGCTTTTATTCTTTGCCAATTCATCTTCTCCTTCCTCCCAATCCTGGTCTTCGTGTCCTTCTCCGCCTCAACCATCGCCTTTGCTCTCGGCGCCGCTGTCGTTTTCTCCCTCTTCTGGATCGGCATTGCACTCCTCGTCCTCGTCCCGATCCTCTTCTTTACCTGCTCGATTGGTGTTCTCGTGTGGATCTGGGCTGCCGGTAGCTTCGTCGTCGCGAAGCGTTTATATGAAATGTCGCCGATCCGGGCCAGGGGTGATCTCGAGGTAGATGCCCCCAATGGGAAGACGTACGCAGTCACCAAGCGGGAGGATGGCATTCACACACATGCCCACAACTAAATTGGGTCAGTTGTGTGCAAACCATATATGTACTATGTATCATCAAACAGTGATGATTAACGGCCGCTTTGGCGTTGGGAAAGGTACGGATATCAGGAATGGGTCTGGGAAAATGGGGTCTTGCAAAACGGATGAGCACACTTCCCATAGGATTGCTATTCAACGTTAACACTTCTTTCGCTCATCGAATCGATACATCGTGACCATAAATTACTCGCCGGTGCCTGTTTCAAGCGGTAATGGCAACTCATCACTGTATTCACTATAGTTGGGTATATGCTGTGACCCCGCAGCTAGAAAGTACGTCGCAATATTTCCCCAACCACTCAGTCTGTGCATAACCTTGAAGACAAAGTGAAGACAGATTCGCCAACGACGACATTCGAACACATTCTGCTTCAAGAACAGCAACCTGCACTCGATGCCCATAATACCGTCGATCAAAAATGCAAAACGTAGCGTTGGTGCCAACACTGTGGATCGAACACAGGATCCCCGCATTACAAGTGCGATGCCTTACCACTTGGCCATGCTGGCGAATTGGATGATGTCTGGGGTCAGAACTATCGATATGTATCTATCCACCTTTTTTCCTGTTCAGTAACAGCAACGGTAACAGTTTGAATATGCGTTCAGCCTTAAGCATCTACCCTCATCCATGTATGTGCATCTACCATTCATGTCTCAGAAGCAGAATGTGAGAAGAAACGCACCTCGCGATGGTCACCCGCTCAGGTTGCCATCACGACTTTCAAGCTGATGCTAGAAGAGCGGGTAGAACCTGCATGCCCGGTTGTGAGTGGCTGGATTGATTGACGCAGGAGAAGGCCTCGCCAACGCATGCTGCCATAAATGTCTAAGTTCTACTGCCTTTGTACCCGCCGAGGCAGGCCTGATCCATTTTCCCATGAAGTACCTTAGATGAGGAGCAGGACGGGTTGAGCAGCCGCCTCAATCTTCCACCGCGATGTTCGACCTCCATATGTTTTGTAGAACCTGGGCCCTCAAAGCAGAAAGTCCACAAACCGTGATTCAAATCACTCAAAACCATCATTTCCAAGTCAGAGTACGGCAGTCCTCGTCACTTCATCATCATCAATTCACCTCATCCGCGGGGAAGTCGGTGCCACTGCCATTAACATGAGCCGCTGGCATGCGGACTGGTGCGCCTCACCTATCATCCAAGTCTGAGACAATCAAATCCTTCGATGCGAGAAATGTCGAGCCACGGCTCACGCTCGATTCAAGACGGCAGACCGGCCTGGCCCTGTACTTTCTGTACCAAAAAGCGAAGAATATGGGAGTCTCAACCTCAGTTGGCCACCTATAGTCACGTTTACCTCTGGGGAAAACGCAACCCATTCGCCAGGTGATAAGAGCAAGGATGATCAAGGAGCTCGTTCGGCTTCAATTTCAACTTCTGATTCGGCTCATGCGAATCGGGGCATCATTACTGCGCTTTTATCGGACGAATTCCGTCTTACTGTTCTCCACGCTGCCGGGGACAAAGGTCCATTGTATCCCATACATGTGGGCTTGGAGTCATACAAGGACACGCATTTCCCTGGCTATGATGCCATCTCGTACACATGGGGCGATGAGAATGGCAACTTCGAATGGTAGATAAGCACCTGTCATGGCTCGATGGAGCTCAATATTCACTAACTTGTGAACATAGTTGTCATCCAATCTACGTGGGCGGCCACTGGGACATCATCTTCCAAACCAGAAACTGTTGCGACATGCTCAAATATTTACGACCATCTCGTGGCTTGAAGCTGATTTGGGTCGACGCGATCTGCATCGACCAGAATAGTACAGACGAGAGAGCTACGCAAGTGACCAAAATAGGCTAGATCTACGCGGCGCAAGGCCATACTGCTCAGCTAAATCCATCTTGGCTTCCTGCTTGGGACACGCAAAAGTCTTGGGAAAAGTTATTTATTGAGCCACCCGAACTGGAGAATACTTACCCATTGTAATCGGGCAAACACGACCACGAAACGATCAAGCAATTTGATTATATCAAAGCTGGAGAGTATGACTCTTTTCGGAACAGAGGAATGAATTTCGCCCAGTGTACCGAATCCGCAAATACTCCTCCCAAAAAACGATTGAATCGACTGAAGAATGCTATGTCATCAGGTACTGGGACTAAACTTTGCCACATACATCCTTGGCACCGAGACATCACCGTCGATACCAATACGGGATCCATCTCACTTTGGCTGACAGGGCCAGCATCCGTCGGCTCGACTATCGTGGAAGCGCGGGAAGAATTCCTTGACGGCCTGACCTTGTATAGAATCCACTCTGTACCAGGACACTCGTTCTTAGTTAAAAACCAGCACCCGCTCAATAGGTTGCTAAAGCATGATGACGAGCTTTTCGCCCAGGATCCTGAATTATGTTCTGGCAGTTCCAAGTTTGACCGGCTCGTCTTCTTGATTCTAAGAAGAAAGGGAATGGAAGGCACCGACTGGTGACTTGCTTGTCGTACTTATCTTTCTGCTCTGAGAACTTTCCTATTACATGGACAGTTACTTGACAAACACCCAATGTCTCACGGACCTCTCGGAAAGCGCATATGTAGTCCGAAGGAAATTATTGGTTCAAGCCAATTTGAATAAATCTGGATACTGCGTTGATGAAGCAGTAAGGACACCGCTTGAAAATAGATACCATATCGCTCGTAGCATTTCTCAGCTGTAGTATGTGGTTTCCCCCGGGAACAAGGACACGAAAGTAGGCCACGTCTTACCAATCTTCATGGGACATGAAAGTTTCGAACGGTTGCAACAGAACGAGGTTTGCGCGAGACGTGGACAAAAGGTTACAGGAGGCTACCTTGAATTCGAGTCTGAGATCGATCTTGCAACTCGGCAAGTTGTTACGGAAGAACTACGAGTAGATCTTACACGGCTTGACTTCCTTTCATGGATGGAATAGGAATGGCGCAGGATCGGGGAGGAAGATGGGCCGCTATGGCGGCACTTTTCACATTTGCGAAGCATGGTGACTGATGGGGATCTGACACTTCCGGGTGGGATAATGCGTATTTATCTGAGGTTCCCAGTGGAAGCGGTTAGGAAAGCCCTTCATATTATAGCACAGAAATTGGGCATTACGGCGCTCTGGGAATCTCAAATGCTGGGAGACACAGTTGAGGCCTTCGAGAAAAACATCCGAAGTGAGGTGACAGAAGAGGACTTCTTGATTCCTAGCCCAGGCCCCGAATGAAGAAGGGAGAGTTTAAGGCCTGAAGAGTTTGACGGGTTAGACGGCGGCATCTACCGAGTCTGCATTGTTTAGGTATTCTCAATGACATGTTGAAAATTGGCTCACGACTCCTGATGAACACTACAAATTGTACGTACTGTGCATACACATAAACACAATTGCATGTATAATTAGTAGTCTAATGTCTTTGAAGGGGAATCGTGGCGCTAAATGATAATAGCATTCAGTGACTGGATCCAATTGGAACTATAATCGGCAACGTGATTATGACCTTGCCATGACGAGACCGCAACTCTCTACTCCTCCTCGGCGGGAACCTCATCCTCGTACTCCTCGGCATACTCGTCATCCATGCCCGCGTCCTGGTACTGCTGGTACTCGGACACCAAGTCGTTCATGTTGGACTCGGCCTCTGTGAACTCCATCTCGTCCATGCCCTCGCCAGTGTACCAGTGCAAGAAGGCCTTTCTGCGGAACATGACGCTGAACTGCTCGCCAACTCTGCGGAAACTGTTCTGAATCGCAGTGGAGTTGCCGATGAACGTGGACGAGACGTCGAGACCCTTGGGCGGGACGGAGCAGTGGGCAGTTTGAATGTTGTTGGGAATCCACTCAACAAAGTTGGTGGAGTTCTTGGTCTTGATGGCGTGAATTTGGTCTTCGACCTGCTTCATGGACACCTTTCCGCGGCTGTTGAGGGGGTTAGACGCAGCTCGAGAAACGGGGGCACGAGAGCGCAACTTACAACATGGTGGAGCAAGTCAAGAAGCGTCCGTCTCTGAAGTCGGACGCCAACATGACGTTCTTGGGGTCGAACATTTGCTGGGTGAGCTCGGCGACGCCAAGGTTCGAGAAGGACGCGGAAGAGGTGAGGGGCGCGAATCCGACGGTGAAGAAGTGCAATCTCGGGAAGGGCACGAGGTTGACGGCCAACTTGCGGAGATCGGCGTTGAGCTGGCCGGGGAAGCGGAAACCAGTCGTCAGGCCGGACATGACTCTCGACACAAGGTGGTTCAAGTGTCCGTACGAGGGGTGAGCCTGCTTAAGCGTGCGTCTGCAAATATCGTACAGCGCCTCGTTGTCGATACAGAACGTCTCGTCCGAGTTTTCGACGAGCTGGTGAATCGACAGGGTAGCATTGTACGGCTCGACGACGACCTCGGAGACCTTGGCGGACGGGAGGACGGAGAAGGTGGCCATCATACGATCGGGGAATTCTTCGCGGACCTTTGCAATGAGCAGAGTGCCCATACCGGATCCCGTGCCGCCACCGAGCGAGTGGGTGATTTGGAAACCCTGAAGGCTGTCGCAGGCCTCGGCCTCGCGGCGCACGACGTCCAGGACGGAGTCGACGAGCTCGGCGCCCTCGGTGTAGTGGCCCTTTGCCCAGTTGTTACCGGCGCCGGATTGGCCGTTGACCATGTTGTCCGGGCGGAAGAGGTTGCCCAGCGGGCCGGAGCGGATTGCCTCCATCGTGGCGGGCTCGAGATCGACCAGGACAGCGCGGGGGACATACTTTTGTCTACCGGCCTACGTTGCATGAGTTTGCGGTTAGAATTTTGAGAGACATCATGAGAGGGGGTGAGGCGCATATGAGATCACGAGGCGCGTGTGAGATGAAGGTAGTACCTCGGTGAAGTAGACGTTCAATCGCTCGGATTGTTGCTCATCAGTTCCAGTGAACCTATAGAAAAGTCAGCATACTATGCTCATAGATTTGCGTCATGGTGACTGAGCAGCTGGAAAACTCACTGTCCATCCTGATCCAAGCCATGCTCAGGGTGAATGGTTTGCCTGTTGTCGCGAACATTAACCACACGTTCAAATAAGTCCTCTTCACATTGATCTCAATGTCGAGATTGGCACATTCATACCAGAAAGCCGTTCCGACTTGGTTGCCCTACAAAGACTTATCATCAGTAAAGGCGCGTTGTGACGCGTTGAGCGCTGGACAGGGGCATGGGGAGACGTACACATTGGCCGGTTTGGAGGTGAATCTAGAGTGGATCACAGAAGCGTTAGTTTGTCAAGAGGGACTTTACAAAGTAAGGTACTCGACTCGAACATGTGCGCGCAACTCACAATTTCACGCATGATGCTGGTTCGAGGATAAGACGGGGTTGTGGTATATTACGATGGTTGAAGGACGCAAGACGCAGGACGCAGATTTTTACCCCGCTATCGAATTGTTGAAATCACGACAGGTGGTCATCTTATAGCGGGATTCCTTATTTCACAACAAACCCCTATCCTGTCCGTATCGCACGCTCGTCTCGCTTGCGCTGTGCGCTTGTTCGCCCCGGATAGGCCCGGCCGTGGACACTCGGTCTGGACTCGAAAAACTTCCCCCACATGTTGGTACATGCATCTTGTTAAACTGCTGCCTTTTTGGAGTTTGATAGCTGCCTGGTTTATGATGTGTTTCTCTGGCACGGCAGAGACATGGACTTCCCGGGCTGTCACACTTTGATGTGGGAAGACAGAACAGACGGTGAGCGGTCAGAGCTTTTTGGGGCACTTTTTGGGGGGAATCTGTGTGGGAAAAAGAGAGAAAAATTAAGAAATAAAACTAAAATAAAGACAAAAAAGAACTTTGGCTGCCCAACCAACGATTCGAGCGGAGGTATCACCCGGGAAGAGACGCAAGCTAGACCATGTTGGGCCCATGACCCGTAGAAACGATTGGTAAATGTTGCTCTGTGCCACTCAGAAGTCTTGTGGATGTGTTCAAAATCCCCAAAGAGTCTCCATGTCTCCATGTTCGGCGATAGGCGCATCATCAAGACCCAAAAGGTGTGGTGTCACCAAACTCGTACTTCTTGTTGAAGAGCGTTGCCTAACGCCGTGACGCCGTTCCAACCGCCCGACCAATGACTCTTTGGGATATACAGCTGCCTGTACTCCCTCGAAACAAGCCGGTTGTTATCCGTCGCCATGTTGATTCACGGTTGCTAGGTGTCTGCCTGCGTGTGTCACACCACCACACCCCATCGACCGACCGGTGCCGCCGCCGCCGCTTGGCCGGACGAGCCGGATCAGAGAGTCCGAATGCCCCCTCCCCTTCCCCCGTCCAGTCCGTGCTCACTGCTCCTCGCTCTCGGCGGACGAAGAGAGTTCGGCGCGCGCTTGAAATTCCCCCATGGCCCCGCCAACATTCCAGCGCGCACCCACGTGGGACGATCCAAACATGGAAGAAGTTAGGAAAGGTACAGCTGAGGAAAATCCGGGAAAATGGAAAGCTCAGCTCCCCCGCTCCCTCGAGTCCCCGGTGGCCTAGATTTTACATTTGCAGCGTTGAGTTTCGCGTCTCACGACGGCTTGGCTGTCTGCAGCACCCACGGTCTGCAAAGACGGACTATACCGATGTCGTTGCTGACGGATGTGGCCTCTCCCACATCCCGGAGCCACGGAGTCTTTCAAAGGCCAAATGCTGCATAGGACCTAAGCTTGCTGCAGACAGCCGAGTCGTCGTAACAGCGCGGAGCCGCGAACCAAACGCAGGAGGCAGACCTGCCCGGCCGTGGTGGAACGCGTATGTATGCGTCTTGAAAAGGCTGCTGATTCTGGACGGGGACAGCCATCCAAGCCCATCGCAGCGAAAGCCGAGAAGAGTTGTTAATGAAAGATAAGGTTATTCATTCTTAAAAGTTTATCGCCAAGCGAGCATTGCTGCCATTGCACGACAGGTAAAGAAGAGTTTACATGTCCGCGCCCCTGACATGCCAATGATATCAGAGACATGCTGTGCGAGTGCTGATCATTCACATTCGACGAGGGCCTGCTTTGCCAGCTTCAGCACATCAACCAAGCAACCTTTGACACGGAAGGTGGTGATCCAGCCACTGACGAGGGGCTCAAGATGATCTGGAATGCAGATGTTTTGGGCGATCAGGGGCAGACGGGCAAAACGAAGGGTGTTGGCGGCTGGGCAGCGGGAGTGGCAGCGTGTTTTCCTCTTTCTTCCTCTTTCTCTCAGCCTTCTCTCAACTCGACCGTCGTCCCGTGGAGCCTCAAGAAAAAGTTTGCATGAAAGCGTCGTCGTCGTCGTCTCCTTCAGCCTCTTGCAGTAAACCCCTCATACGTCTTGGGTAGATCTAGACACCGATATGGTCTGGACCCTTTACTCGAATCCGATCAGAGTACCCGACCGTTTACCAAAAGCGATCGGTGACAGCGGCTCCTAGTCTGGCTAGCCAGCGGGAGACGATAGAATCTGGTTTAGGGGGACTCGTAAGTTCTCTTTCAGACTGAGACATGGTGTCTTGAAGTTAAATGAACCGGAGGATGTGGCTTGCGCTTCAAAGAAACTGAGGAGTTTTCACCCCAAAGCCCCGTGTTGCTGAATGCGGTAAACCTACCGGGACTCGACTGTAACAGTGCAATCCCCATGGTACCGACTTCTGAGGGAGACTCCTGAAGAATGAGAATGGAATGAGATATATCTACATCCTCAGAACCCTGGTCTGAACGGGTTTCCTTCTTACTCTCCCATCTTCAAGTTACCACTTGGAACACTCTCCTTGATTGCATCCTTTTCTGCTCTTCTTCAGCTTCTCAACACTCCTATTTTCCCGGGCATCATCAACTTCAGTCTTCAGCTCAGTGGCAGGAACCATCCTTCCATTCAGTCAGTCACTCCTTACGACGACTCTACTTCGACCAGAAAGATCCCGGTGATTTCGATATATCCGAAGCCCCCAATTCCCACATCTCAAGCCACCACCATGCACTTCTCAGCCAGCGCAACCTTCGCCTTGGGGCTGATGGCCACGCAAGCCGCGGCGAGGGGCATCGTCAAGGTGCCAAAGTACTACGCAGCAGCCGGAACCCCGACCTACACGATCACTCTCGCCGCCCCCACGACGACCTTTCCCACGATCTACGCGCAGCCGTCGGTGACCTCGTCATCGACCTCGTCCTCGGCGACTGCCACCCCAACTGCCTCCTCCAACTCGACCCTGAGCGCCGACCTGCAGAGAGCCCTCGAACTCCACAACATCTACCGCGCTGCCGTTGGCAACGCCAACTTGACCTGGGATGACGACTTGGCCGCGAGCGCTCAGGTCTGGGCCAACCACTTGACGACTGTCGGCAGCCTGGTTCACGACTCGAACCCCGGCGGCCAGGGAGAGAACTTGGCTTCGCAGTCGGGCGGCACCACCACCTATTTCACCAACGGTGTTCAGCTGTGGTTGGATGAGAAGCCGCTGTATGATGGACAGCCCATCCGCACCACTGGGTCGCCCAACTACTTGAACTATGGTCACTACAGTGAGTACTTTGGGCCTTGATTGAGAGGAACGTTGCAACTAACAAGTTGATAGCTCAAGCCATTTGGAAGAACACCCAGAAGGTCGGCTTGGCCATGGCCACCGACTCCAAGGGTACCACATTCGTGGTCGGACGTTACTTGCCTCCTGGAAACTAGTAAGTATCTCATCTCGTACTCATCAACTTCACAAGTCTAACTGTTCTCTTCCAGCATCGGCCAGCTGCCCTACTAAGCATGGAAGGGTGGATTGCCAGTGTTGTTTGAGATGTTCTAATCAACGCTGTTGGCTGGGCTTGACTTTTCTTTCGATTCTAGACCGCTTCTCCTTCACTAAGTTGCTTATGCTCATGGCAAGATTTTCATGCCTTGGACCACTTCACTGCACATAGATTGTACAGTTTCCGTTCAGAATCTTCAACAATTCGAGAGAAATGAAAAAGAGCTTAGACACAATGCCGAGCAATCAATGAATCAACCTCTCCCACACTTGTAAAGAAAACAAAATGCCGGATCCGGAAAAGGGTGCAAGGTAAGGTTCTGACTTGACAACGCCGTCTCATCTTCGCCGAGTGTCCCCGCCCCACCAAACCAAGACCGCCGTCCGAAACTCGGCGGACGAACTGGACGTGCACTCAGCTCATACTCCCACCTCCAACACCACTGACTCCCAATCTCGTCCGTCCGAAGAGTACACAAGTCGTACACAGCATCAATGTCTCCGCGCCTCGTACTCACATAATGGCAGGCACTGAGCGAGGTACCATCACAGTTCGCACCGGTGCCTCGGAACGGCGAACTGCAGCTGCTAAGCGCCGCTTCGTCCGCAGGGGCACCAAGAGCTGCTGGGAGTGTCGCAGACGCAAGATCCGCTGCATCTTTGACGATAAGGGACCTCGAGACACGTGTAAAACGTGCTGGCAGAAGGGGACGCCGTGTGTGAGTCAGGAGTTCCCCGAAGAGGATGCCCAGACGGCTCCGGCCCCGGTGGGCAGTCTCGGGGACCGGCTGAACCGGGTTGAGCGACTGGTCGAGCAATTGTACCACCGGGTAGACGATCTTGATGTCCCTTTTCCCACTTCGCCGCAGGAGAAGGTAGCAGAAGGCTGTAGCTCCGGAGCAGAAGAATCAGCCACCATAGACCCAACTAGAGAAGCGTGTTCTGAGCCTGTCCTCAGCCCTTCATCAACTCAGAACGCAGACTTATCAACGGTAGGATCGGGTCGAACATTCAAAAGGATTCTCACTGACGAACGTCTTTCCATTGATCAAGATTCAATCACAATGTGAAAGCAATGATGCACAACCTAACGAAGACTCATCACGTCCGAATGCCCCCTCTCATTATGAGACCACGGCAACTATCCGTCCAGCAGTAAACGCAAAACTAGCTGCCTACACAAGACAGCTTGCCGCCGCGATACCCGCCATAGAAGACTGCAGGGTTATCTACAAGCTCTACTCCGAAGCTGACATTGTCTTTCAGCTCATGTTCACGCCCCACTGCCTATTGGAGCAGCTGAAGCCAGAGTCTGTCGAGCACTACTTGGAATCTCTCAGAACACCAATGCATCCCACTCTACTGGCCAAAAAGATGCTCATGTTGGGTACGATGCTTCAGCGCGTTCCGACCCACGCCGGAGAGGATGCGTCCGAAGAAACCTATCGTCTCGTGGACAAGCTCGCGGAGACGGCCATCTCTGTGGTGTGCGAGAACAACGTGCTCCTGGGCACGCTCGACGGCCTCGAATGTCTCATTCTACAAACTGTCTATCATGCCAATGGAGGCAATCCAAGATTATCACTGCTGACCTGCCGCCGTGCGATTACTGTGGCCCAGTTGATGGGCCTGCACCGCCCACACGATCCAGCTACCATTGAGACAGTGGACCCGAATTCGACAGCAGTTCCTGGCTTCGTGTGGTTTCGTCTGGTATACTTAGAACGCTTCATTTGCCTCCTTCTAGGGCTTCCCAGCAGCACCCATGATGCAAAGGTCATCAACGACGAAAAGACGCAGACGTACATCAACAGCCATCACATTGACAGGCTCGAACAAGTTCACTCCTCTATCGCCGCTAAGATCATACAACGAAACGAGTCGGGGTCATATCTATTCGATATGGAAACCACTCACGCACTAGACCAGGAGCTCCAAGTTATAGCAACAACCATGCCCCCGCGATGGTGGACTATTCCCAACTTCACCAAGCCGCACAAAGACCCCATGACAATCGTCCGCAACAGCCTCAACCTAGCCAACCAGCTCTTCCACTTCTTCCTCATCATCGAACTCCACCTACCATTCATGCTCCGCCACTCCAAGAACGGCGCGGCCAGCAGCAGCAGAATGGCTTGTGTCGACGCGAGTAGGGAAGTCCTCTCCAGGTTCATCGCGATCCGTAACCCGGAGGGAATATGCAGTATCCCCGACGCCGCTGACTTCTTCGCGCTCATTGCGGCCATGACGCTTATGCTCGCGCACATCGACGCCCGCAGACGCGACAGGGGGAGAGATATCCTCGCGCACCAGAGGCATACGGACCGCGACAAGGTCGAGCAGACGTTGGAGCACATGCGTGACGGGAGCTCCAAGAATACGGATATGCTTTCCATGAAGAGCGCCGATGTCTTGAAGAGCTTACTTGCGATCGAGGCTGATGCTGCCGGGGGTTCGACGTTCACTGCGAGTCTCAGTTCTGCGTCGACGCCGGCTTCGGCTTCATGTCCTGCCGGTGAAGATCGGAGCACAGGTGATGCCAGGAATGTGCTGCAGCTTAAGATTCCTTGTTATGGGACGGTCATCATCTCGCCTGATGCTCCTCCTTCTCGCGAACCTTGGATGCCTGCCAGTCGTAACCAGCAGGGTATGGTTCCGGACAGTCGTGCTCCGGGAAATCTCAGTGCTGCGAGCCCCTTTGTTGCAGGCCCCATGGCAGGAGTATGTCCAGGCGGGGGGGCTAGTGTGATGCCAGGCTCGAGTGGTCAGGGTGAGAATCTGCAGCTCGATCCTAATGTCGATCCTAGATGGCTCTTTGAACTCGGAAATCCCAACCTTCTGGGCAATGGAATCGCCGCTGGGTTAGAGGATTGGCCGTTTCAGGGGGTTGATGCTGCTTTTTTTGACAGTATGATCAGAGGGTTCGAAGGTGGTGACGACTATGGCGGTGCAAATGTGCCATGAAAGCATTTGAATCCTCGTTTTGAAAACAAAAAGGACACAAAGGGAATGGATCCGCCAGGGAAATGCAAGAGTCGAACTCGTTGGTCAGGGACCCCATTTATAATGATTCGTTTATGGACAGGATTCCAACACCATCATACATCAAGTAACTAGAGCATAAGGGGAATCGAAACACTCATCCCAGTCTTTCTTCCCAGACGACCAAAACTTCTCTAGAATATCCTTCGTTGCTAGAGGCAAATACGCACCAAGGTGTACACTCTCGTCGGCTAAACGCTTAGCAACGAACGACCTTACCGCCGCGGTCCCCGTCTTAGCCTCGAACCCAGCAACAATCATCGGCCACATGACGCAGCTCCTCAGAACCTGAGACCCGGCAGCCTTCTCGAGGAGGGCCATGAGCTTGCTGCCGTGTATTGTCTTCACGGCCCGCCAGCCCGCGGATGCGGGTATCACACAAACGCTCTGCAGGGAGGCGATGGCGAAGACCACGACGGCGGACTGATACACTTGCGCCATTGTCAAGAATTGCTCTTGCGATTCGGTCTTGGCGGCGGACCAAGTTTCGGGGGAGAAG